TGCATCTCAAGACCTCAGAAGCTCCTGTAAAATGTTTTAAATGATTACCTTCTGAAAAATGACTGGAAAGAAAAAAAACAGTTGCTATTAACAAGTAAGGAAAGTGTAACATCTAAGAAAGTAATGGTTCTCAGCTGGGAAATAAAAGTTTTAGATATGTTATCTCACAGATTAACATATAGAATTTAGTCTTGTCTTGAACTCATGTTACTTTATGTGGAAACTAGGAATATCTTAGCCCATGCCAATTTTAGCTGATTTAAGTCCAAGATAACACTTGAAAGAGAACAAGATTATGCTGTAATATGATTTGCCCAGGTAACATGCTGGTACACATGGAAAATTTGTGAGGTCGGGAGCATATTGTAAACCTTTCTATATTTGTGAACTGTGGGATTTAGAAAATCTCAGAATAAGCCGGGCGCAGTGGCTCATGCCTGTAATCCCAGCACTTTGGGAGGCCAAGATGGGCGGATCACAAGGTCAGGAGATCTAGACCATCCTGGCTAACATGGTGAAACCCCGTCTCTACTGAAAATACAAAAAAATTAGCCGGGCATGGTGGCGGGCGCCTGTAGTCCCAGCTACTTGGGAGGCTGAGGCAGGAGCTGTCTCTTATACACATCTAGATGTGTATAAGAGACAGTGGTAGGTGATTGTAGTCCCAGCTACTCAGGAGGCTGAGGCAGGAGAATTGCTTGAATCTGGCAGGGGGAGGTTGCAGTGAGCCGAGATCAAACCACCACACTCCAGCCTGAGCAACAGAGCAAGATTTCATCTCAAAAGGAAAAAAAAAAATTTTTTTTTTTAGAAAGTTTTACTTTACCTTCAGTAAAATAAGCAGTAAATTACTAGAAAATCAGCATTAGGATAATCTTTCACTTTTATGAAAGCCTATATAAGATATAAACTGTGGTATAATCAGAAAGCCTGTAGTTTGAGGGTGTGGTGTGGTTGCTTGTGAAGCAAAGAAATGGCCATCTTCATGGGCACGTTGACCACCAACCAGCATAGACATATGGTCATGTGCTGTTGCATGACAGGGGTCTATTCCGAGAAATGCGTCCTTAGACGATTTCCTCGTTGTGGGGACATCACGAAGTGTGCTTTTACACAATCTGAGATAGTAGAGGCTATCTAGGCTGTGGGTACAAAGCAGTGTAGCATGTTACTGTACTAAATACTTCAGGCAGTTGTAACATGATGGTAAGTATTGGTGTGTCTAAACAGAAAAGGTACAGTAAGAACATAGTATAAAAGATTAAAAAATGCTACACCTCTATAGGGCGCTTAACTTGAATAGAGCTTGCAGACTTGGAAGTTGCTCTGGGCGAGGCAGTGAATGAGTGATTAGTGAATGTGAAAGCCTAGAAAATCACTGCATACCACTGTAGACTTCATAAACATTGTACAGTTAGGCTACACTAAATATATTGGAAAATATTCTTTCTTCATCAATAAACTAACCACATCTTACTCTAACTTTTGTTTGTTTGTTTTTTTGAGACGAGTCTCACTCTGTCGTCCAGGCTGGAGTGCAGAGGCGCGATCTCGGCTCACTGCAAGCTCTGCCTCCTGTAACTTATTTACTTTAAAAATTTTTTAAAGGTCTTGACTCCTTTGTAATAGCACTTAGCTTAAAATACACATACATTGTATATCTGTGCAAAAATATTTTCTTTTGTTACATCCTCATTCTGTAAGCTTTTTTTATTTTACAATTTTTTCCACTTCTAATGATTTTTCTTAAAATCTAAATCAAAGGCACAAACACATTAGCCTAGGCCTACGCAGGGCTAGGATCATCAATTTCATTGTCTTCCACGTCCATATCTTGTCCCACTAGAAGGTCTTCTGGGGCATTAACATACATGCAGCTGTCATATCCTGTGATAACAATACCTTCTTCTGAGCTGGGTATGGTAGCTCACGCCTATAATCCAAGCACTTTGGAAGGCCAAGGCAGGCAAATTGCTTGAGCCCAAGAATTCAAGACCAGTTTGGGCAACATGGTGAAACCCTGTCTCTACAAAAAATACAAAAATTAGCCAGAGATGGTGGCATGTGCCTGTAGTCCCAGCTACTTGGGAGGCTGAGGTGGGAGAATTGCTTGAGCCTAAGAGGTCAAGGCTGCTGTGAGCCATGATCATGGTTTGATTTTGTTCTACCCATTGCTTGAGAGTTGCTGCCAAATGCACAGAAGTTTCTGGCTCTGTTTACCTTTGTAGCAGTATTTGGAAGTACTGTTGACTGCATTTTCTTCTCATTCATTTCCCTGTTTCTCTCATGCTTTGGGGGATCTTTCCAATGTTTCTTATGTCTTGACGGCACTTGCTCTCCCAATTTGGAATTGCCTGTTATCTTTTCGTGAATTTTCTGAGGTTTCAGCTGGGGTAGAGTAGACTCACAGTAGAAATGTGTTAGACTTTTCTACCAGTCTTCTAGCACACTCCCCAAGTCTTCATTCTGTAAATTCAAGTTTTGATTTTGTCCCCCCATTGCTTGAGTTGCTGCCAAATTCATTCCATTTCTTTGTGGTAAGCACCTCTTATTTCTTTTAAAGCTCAGGAAGAGCTGACTTTTTTTCTTATGTTTATTTGTCATCATTTAAAATGCTCTTAACTTTCCTTAAAAGTCTGTGTTTTTTTATTTTCCCTTGTGATCTGGCTTTCTGTTCTTGCAATCAAACTGGAATGCAGGCAGGTCTTCTTAATTCATTTCACCTTTTTCTTTTCATATAATACTACACTGACTGCCCTTCGTTAGGAAAGAAAACACATTGTTTTATTCAGGTGTCTTGTTTCATATACTTATTTGCATTAATGTTATGGCTCGGGGAGTGCATCTCTAGAATAAATGGTCCTTTTGTGGAGGAAAGTCGAGAGAATTAAGGGTTAGTGTGCTGGCAGTTTGATTTCCTTTCCTTTCCTTTTCCTTTTTTCCTTTTTCCTTTTTCCGAATTGGAGTCTTGCTCTGTTGCCCAGGCTGGAGTGCAGTGGCACAATCAGCTTACCGCAACCCTTGCCTCCCAGGTTCAAGCGATCCTTGTACCTCAGCCTCCTGAGTAGCTGAGATTATAGGTGCATGCCACTATGCCCAGCTGATTTTTGTATTTTTTTAGTAGAGATGGGGTTTCACCATGTCTACCAGTCTGGTCTCGAACTCCTCACCTCAAGTGATCCTCCCGCCTCGGCCTCCCAAAGTGCTGG